TAACTTCAACATTGAAATCCAAGTTTCTCAACTTATCTATTTGTAAGTTACACGAGTTGGTTACATTATCAATAGGATTTTTTTTTTATGGCGTGGTCGTTCACACTTCCAAATACGTGCAACCTTTATGTGTTCACCAGTGTGAAATGCAAACGACTTGAAAGTGTCTCGCATACGCAGTAGAGAGCGCAATAACGTCACACACGCAGAGCGTGCTCAGTGTTCTGCCAACCGCCATAAAAAGTAGTGTTTGCGGAAGTAAACGTGGATGCTAACGGTGGAGCATAGCTTACGATTTTTAACTTAAAAAATGTAAGTTGTTGTCCAACCAGAGCCAGCATATTAACAACTTAATCCTCATTATAATCCGTCATGGTTGTTGTTTTTTTCCCCGCTTGTACGGGATAGGGATGTTTGTCGAGTATAAATGCCGTTCAGGTCGGATGAACACGACCTGGCCGTTAGGATTCAGGTCACATTTGAAAAGATCAGATCCGCATTATCGGATATCCAGGTAGCCTGGGTCACATTTGAAAAAAAAAATCCAACCTGTGTTGTTCAAACTGTCATGAAAAGATACAGGTCGCATTAAGGCAAACAAATCAGAATTGGGTCACTTCAGGCTGTTCAGAATTGTTACCATGGTTTCCATTTATGTGAGTGCTGGTTCAGTGTCAGAGGTCGCACTCACAGTAGACAATAAGGCCGACGGTTTTCCTGGAGCGCGTGTTCAGGTGGGAGTTTTGCGCCAAGCAGGTGTAGTCACCAGTGTGCACACGGAGGACCTTGGCAATGGTGTACTGTGGCCCAGTGAACACCTGGGAGTTGTTGTAGAACCAGATGTACTGACTGGCTGGATTGGACTGGGCTTGACATGATAAAGAAACCGGCTCAGTTTCCAGAGCTGAGAATCCTCGATCTGTTACACTGTATGAAGTCCCTTCAATCTGAGGAACATCTGGGCCGACTGAGAAACAAAAAAGAGTGTGAACACAGTCAATTGCTGAACGCTGTGCTCAATATAGTAAATTAGCTTTTAAAAAAGCAAAAGATAATAAAGATATGTGAAACTTATTGGTATCTGTTATCTAGAGGCTAGCTTTATGAAATTTACTAAGCAGCATTTTGTAGAACTTTACATTTTCAGAATTTACATGATAACTTGATTTTGTTCTGTGGGGAACTGCTCTGTGTTACGCAATTATGAGAAAAAAATCTATATGAGAGCTTCTTTGTCAAAACCTGGTAGGTACATGTACTTTCTTGTAATTTTTATGGAATTTACTGTTTACTTCCAATTAAGGTTTCGTAAAAGTTTAAGTTAAAAAAAACAATGTTTGGAAAAATTATAAGCTCCTACTAATATGTAAGCATAATTTACAATTACTTACAGATAATGTCCAAAAACACCCAGTCAGAGTTTTCAGTGTTGAGGAAGTTGCTGCCTACACAGCGGTACCGGCCAGTGTGGCTCCGGTTGACGTTGCTCATGGTGATATTGCTGCTGTTGCTGCCCTGAGCAAATGTTGTGATGCTGCCTCTTTCAATTTCACGCTGCCACACATACTGAATGGGCTCAGTCCCATTTTCCACATTGCAATGCATCTTTACCGTCGCTCCTTCCACTGGGAGCGTGTCTCTTATCAGGACAGATGGTTTACTAACAGGGACTGTGAAAAAAACAAATCCAGCATCAAATCAATCAAAGGCTCGCATTATATATGTGAATATTTTATGTGGACTTGGTTGCATTTCAAAATATTCACATAACAGAGTAAAACAGTGGTCATACATTTGTTTATAGGTAAGGTTTTGACTTGTTTTTTTAAACTGACTGTAACTGATACATTTATGACAAACAGGTTATAAAATGTTATTTAAGTGGAATGAGTAAAAAATGATCATTTGTATTTTTATGTCTTACTAGAAATTATATGTCCCTGTGAAAAAATATCCACACTGACAATTTTACGTCGTATCAACTCAAATTTAGCAACCATTTTCATCATTGTTAAACAAACATTAAATACTCGAATGTGCGAAGCTACAAGCACATTGAATGCCAGTCTTAAGGTGGCAACGCAACTTTAAATGCTCTGACTTTGTTATGCTTTATACTGTTGCAGTTCCTAATGTTTTGCGATTAAATTGAAGTGATTGGTTCTTCTAAATTCATGTATATAAATGAGAATTTATGGCGTTACGCTTCACATAACAAGCTCTGTGTTTTTGCCATTACAGAGATACATGAAAATTGGACTTCATCTGCAAAATATATCTAATTCCCAAATCATTTTTGCTGTGTGTGACCATGAGAACTGACCCAGTGTAAGTCCACAGGTTTTCGTTTGATTCACAAGCGGGTGTTTAGCAGAGCACACGTAGGCCTTCCCAAACTGAAAGGTGCTGTAACGAACAATCAGAACGTTGGAGCTCTCTTCTCCGTTTTTGCCCTGACCACCTGGACCTTTCCACCACAGCAACGCCTTTGGGAGCCCTCCACCCCAGGAGCAGGACAGCACCAGAAACTGTTTGTCATCCGTCACATTGGCGAAACACACAGGCTCTGCAAAGGGGATATCTGGAGCAGAGGGAGTAACACAGGACTGAATGACTTTCTCTCATTCATCATTTTTATTGAGCTTTCTGGACTCACATGTGACAGTGCTGCAATTCATCTGTTGCTTTAGAGCAGCATGAGAGCCGTGACAGGTAAACAAGCTGCTGTTAGCAGTTAAACCTCCAGAGGGCAGCAAAACGTCTGCGCCCAATGGATTTACTTGTCCTGCAGGGATCAGGTCTCCAGTCCAGTGAAGGGACGGGGAGGGGAGTCCACCGGGCCAGACACAGAGCAGGTTCAGTGAGGTGTGATTCAGAACCGGCTGCACGGAGCAGAGGGGGGAGCCGTCAGGTGGATCTGCAGGGATTAAATGTGTACAGTAAGAAGTGAGTTACTGGGGAGGGAAGTGCACTAATCATTTATGCAGATTCACTAACATAGCTGATGTAGATCATTTAATAATTTCCAGCTGTAGGTTGTCAGAACAGCAACTATCTACATGATCCCATATTCTCTACTGCATCATGAGTTAAAGAACATTTAAGTTTTATGTGGCAATAACTAGAAAGAAATTTTAAAAATACCTCTGAAACAATTTTATTGAATCATGATTGAAAATAAAGTAGCAGGTGGATCTGTCATTAATAAAATCAGTTGTTATAGGTGTGACTAAGAAAATGTTGCATATGCTGTCTCACAATTATATCAAATCTGTCATAATGAGAGAAAAAGCTATTGAATATGTGGGGACTAATATATAAAAATATATAATCATTTCATTCTTTAGATTTCATGCTCATCTGTGAAACTAAGAGAGTCCTTTTCAATGATTTGTTGAAAGCTAAGTATTGAAGTGATTTCTTGTTAAATCCTTATAGGCAGTTAATGTCTGCAGCAGATAACTGTATTATCTGAGTGTAAATCTGGATTAAGTAGACCTTAAGACTGAAAGTAACAGTTTGTCCAAGTTGGGCCAAGGCCAGAGTGAATTTTCATCGTCTTAAAACAGCTAAAAATATTCAAGTTACTCTGCAATTTAATCATTAATTATTTAAGCTTTTGTCATGTTTGCATTGGGCACTTATTTGCCTAGGAAACAGAGATGGGAGGTGGTAAGGCATCAGTAATATTCCTGATTGAAAATGTATTGAGAATGAAGAAAGCATTTGATAAAACTATTTGTGAGTAAAATGTATGAATCTGCATGAAGTGGTTAGATAAAAAAACATATTAGGGATTTTAGTTATCATTCAAATCATCTTGTGATGACAGAAAGATGCCAGTGTACCTTCTTGCTTTGAGGACTGTCAGTTTTGAGAAATGGTCTGAATCTTAAAGTCCCACTTACAGTAAACTGTCAGGGTGATGGTTTTCCTGGACTGCGTGTTCAGGTAGGAGTTTTGTCCCACACAGGTGTAGTCACCAGTGTGCAGACGGTGGATCTTTGTGATGACGAGTTGCGGTCCAGAATACACTTCAGAGTCATTGTGGAACCAGACGTAGTGACCGGCTGGATTGGACTGGACTCGGCATGTCAGTGAAACCGTCTCATTCTCTAGCGCGGTGTAGCCCCGCTGTACAACACTGGTTGGAGCCACGTCTATCTGAGGAACATCTGGACCAACTGAGCAGAAATAACATGAACATTGTTAAGATCAACGCTGTCAATCATCTAACTGCAGAATGGGTGGAGTGTTTCTGTCATTCTGGAAGGTGAACCCGGTCCCAAATCTTTTAGATTTCCTTCCATGACTGTCCTGTTTTTAGTTCATTCTGACAAGTTTTCCTGTCCCTGCTGAAGAAAAGCCTCCATTTCTCTGAGGCTTTAACAAAGCAGCCTCACTTATGCTAATATTAAATTATATAGAGGGTAGCAATTACTTAAGTTGTGGAGTGCAAAGCAAATTAGGCAATTTAAGAACATTTACCACAATATGCAGAGCACAGGGAATTTATTTAGTGGATCCTTTACTACTTACATGTGACGTTGAGCCATAACCTTTCTGAGCTCTCTCTGTTGACGGCGTTTCCTGCAGCGCAGCGGTACCAGCCAGTCTGGTTACGGACAATGTCTGTGATATTAATGAAGCTGGTGCTGCCCTGTGCAAACGTTGTGAAGTTTTCATTATACAGTTGATGCTGCCACACGTAATGTATTGGCTCAGTCCCATTCCCAATGTTGCAGTGCATCCAGATAGAAGATCCTTCCTTTGGGGATGCGTTGCTCGTCAGGAGGATCGGCTTACTGACAGAGACTACAAAGAAAATGAAACGCAGATGTAGGGAGACAGAAGACAATGTAGTGTTCACTGAGTGAAGAGTTTTTATAATTATTTATGGTGTGTATGAAACACCAGCATATTGCATGTAATGAAACTTCAAAAAAATATATTTACAAAAAGATAACTGTCACTTAATTTATGCTATGCAGGTTTCTCTGCACATTTCCAAATTCATTGGAAGATTGTTCTGCACAGCGAAGATGAGCACTGACCCAGTGTGATTCTGCAGGTCTTTGCTGCAGTCAGGAGTGGGTGTTTGGCATAGCAGGTGTAGGGTTTCCCACTGTGGGCTGTCCCATAAGGAAGGAGCAGGATGTTTGAGTTTTCTTGTCCATCCTTGCTTTGGTTTCCTGGTCCTTCCCACCACACCAGTGCTTTGGGTAGCCCTCCATTCCAGGCACAGGACAGCATCAGATACTGCCTATCATTGGTCACGTTGGTGAAACACAGCGGCTCTGAAGGAGGGATATCTGGTGAGAAGAAAAAAGAGGTGAAGAGAGCAAGTTTTCTGTCCAGTTATTTATGAGAAATTATTCTGGTTCTCACAGCTACGCGCGCTGCACTGTGTAGGTTGTTGGAGAGCAGGATGGGAGCCGACGCACGTGAACACGCTGCTGTTACGATTCAGCGTCTCGGACGGGAGCATCATGACGTTGGTAGTTAGACGAGGTTGTTGTTGCCCTGTGTCGACTTGTTTTTGGCCTGCCTGTATTGGGTCTCCGGTCCAGTTGAGGGACAGGGAGGGAAATCCTCCGAGCCAGGAGCAGAGGAGCCTGAGAGCAGTGTGGTTGAGTGCAGACTCCACAGAGCACATGGGGGAGCCATCTGGAGGGTCTGCAGGACCAAAAAACATGTGTTATCAATAAATTTGCAGTAAATTAGAGCTTAAATTAAGAGGTTTGTGTGTATGGTTATAGTTTTCAGGAAGTTTGAATTGAAATATTTTAACATTGAAGAACTTGAGACTGACAACAAAGATTAATGTGGGAAAGTGATGATTAATGAAATGTTGTAGTCAAAGGTCACACTCACAGTAAACAGTCAGGCTGAGGGTTTTACTGGACTGGGTGTGGAGGTGGGAGTTCTGGGCCACGCAGGTGTAGTTGCCAGTGTGGCTTCGGAGGAGCTTGTCGATAGCGAGGAGTGGTCTTGTGGAAATTTTTGAATCATTGTAAAACCAGATGTACTGGCTGCCTGGATTGGACTGGGCTTCACAGTACATGGAAACAGTCTCATTCTCCAGAGCGGAGTATCCATGCTTTGTTATATGGAATGGAGTCACATCTATCTGAGGTTCATCCGGACCGTCTGAAGACAAACGATATGAGCAGAGTGCCAAAATGTAGGTCAGAGATAGACAGTCTACTCAGAGCAAATTGAAACAAACTTTAGAAGACTTTAGAGGTCTTTTTACACTGTTGTGAGAGTAAAAAGTTATGTTTGCTTGATAATAAATTTTAAAAAGTTTTCAGAATTAATCTAAAAAAAAAAACACCTGTCAGAGTAGAGAAAAAGTTAAAGTGGAGCAACAAACAGGAGGAAAGCATTTTGATGCAATTTTATGTTTTATCTGCATCTAATCTGCACCTAGTAGGAAAATCCAAAATGCTTACATGTGACATTTATCAATAAGCGGTTAGAGGTGTCATTGTTGACAGCATTGCTGACTTCACAGTGGTACCAGCCAGTGTAGTTTCTGCTGATGCTGGTCACAGTGATGATGCTGCTGTTCTGCGATAAGTCAGAAATGTCTTCATTGAGAGTTTCATGTTGCCACTTGTACTGAAGCGGTTCAGAACCATTTTCAACACTGCAGTTCATCCATATTGAAGATCCTTCAATTGGAGAAGCTTCACTCATCACGAGATACGGCTTACTGACAGGAACTGTATCGGAAACACAATCACAGACAGCAGTGATTTTAGAAGTGCAACACTGTAAATTTAATTTGTAAGTTTTATACAGAGTCATTTTAACCTGAATTGTCCATTTCTAAGTAACTTGTAGGAAACATCATTAATGGATTTGGAGCTATAGCTTGACGTTTCTCCCTTGCCTACTACTCATGTGTCAGTGCTTTTAGTTAAACGTTTTGGTTTCAATCATTGTGTCTTTGGTGCTAACTCTGTTTTTTGCTAATGAGAACACCAGACACACAAATCTAAAGATCTTACTGTCTAAATCTTTTTGGAAAAACGTGGCAGGTGGATTGCTGAACTTAATCATGATTTTGTTCAAAATCATTCACCTGATCAAATCTCTTACTACAAATTGATTACAATCTACTTGAATGCTGCTGAAAAGGCTCATGTCATGACTCAGTCCCTTTGTTAAAATGTTTATATGCTGGCACTGTCTACACTAAACAACCCAAACTGATTTCACATGGAATGACCCACTGAGCGCTACCAGAACCGGGCCTTCATTGCTTGATTGTGCTTGACGAAGTCAACTTAAACCTTTCAATACCCTCAGCAGGGAAACATGAAACTGGTTTCTTCTTGTTGGAAGGGGCATTTCTACTACCAACTGCCTTTGCTTAGACAGTGATTGGGATAAATGGTTGCCATGTTTTTTTTTTAAGCCCGATGTTTACCAGAAAAGACATTTGAGGTCAGGGGTTCTGATTGCCATTTTAGCTGCTAATCTCAAAAGTTAATCTCAAGTATTGCTCCTGGAATTTGTTCAAGTTCTCCCAAATGTGATTTTTACTAAACATGGTCTTCATCTGTCACCTCTGATGCAGACTTTGTCTGTTCTCAGAAGTTATTCCAGTGTTCAACTATGATATCCCTTTATTGTAATAGGATACCCTTCTAAACATAGTTGTACCTACAGGTGAGACTCTTACCTTGGACAGTCAGATGTACGTAGTAGTAGTAAACTATAGGCTCATCTTCAATGTCATAGAAAGCCTGACAGGTGAACAAGCCATGTGCAGCCAGAGGCAGTTTCTCGATGCTTATTGATGCCGTGTTTGGGAGGATTGTCACTGGTCCGACCATCTTAGCAAGCTTCTGGATCCTCGGCCCTTTCCCCAAATCGTAGAGCACCGCTTTGATGGCATCTGTGCCTGGCTCAGTGAAGCTCCATATGTATAAATCAGGTAACACTGCTCCACATTCCAGAACCACAGCTTTGTCCACCACCCCATACACACTGGCATCCTGATACACCACCTCTCCAGTGTGATTTATCTGAAGGGCTGAAGGAGAGACATAACACCATGCGTGCGTTTGTGTTCATGTGTGTGAAGGAAACAAAGATGGAGGTGTCATGTGCCTTGCCTATGTTCAGCTGAAGCCAGGATTGATTACACACACACACACAAAATTTAGTTTTAAATATATATATATATATATATATATATATATATATATATATATATATATATATA